ATTACACACAGTATATCACACTGAATACACACAGTATATCACACTGAATACACTGAATACACACTGTATATCACACTGAATACACACAGTATATCTACAGAAATGGACAAAAGTACATTAGCATAGCTAAAAACAGTAGTAGCCATTTTTAAAACATACCAGCAAAGCCAGTTTAATGGGATCCTGACGCGTTATATCAGAAATATGACAGCAAAATGCGAGAGGACGACGGTGAGCGAGTCCTGTGGTAATTCCTTGGATTTTTGAAAGTAGAAGAAAGTGTTCTACTAAAAAATCAAAGAAAACTTACCTGTATTTTTCTGTTTTCAACAGCAAAAAGGCAGTAAGACACTATCATTACTGCTTCTAAATGCTAATTGGTTAGCATTACTGCTACCGAGGGCTGATTGGTTGGCATTACTGCTACTGAGTGCTAATTAGTTAGCATTACCACTTCTAAATGCTAATTGGTTGGCATTAATGCTACTGAGTGCTGATTGGTTAGCATTACCGCTTCTGAGTGCTAATTGGTTGGCATTACTGCTACTGAGTGCTAATTGGTTGGCATTACTGCTACTGAGCGCTGATTGGTTGGCATTACTGCTACTGAGCGCTGATTGGCTAGCATTGCTGCTACTGAGCGCTGATTGGTTGGCATTACTGCTACTGAGTGCTAATTAGTTAGCATTACCACTTCTAAATGCTAATTGGTTAGCATTTTTGCTTCCGAAAGCTAATTGGTTGGCATTAATGCTACTGAGTGCTGATTAGTTAGCATTACCACTTCTGAGTGCTAATTGGTTGGCATTACTGCTTCTAAGTGCTAATTGGTTAGCATTACCGCTTCTGAGTGCTAATTGGTTGACATTACTGCTACTGAGTGCTAATTGGTTGGCATTACTGCTACTGAGCACTGATTGGTTGGCATTACTGCTACTGAGCACTGTTTAGTTAGCATTGCTGCTACCGAGAGCTGATTGGTTGGTGATAAGTGGACCTCAGGGAAAATGTAGGATTTGGGTGCATTAAAGTAATCACTCATATCGTTAGCATAAAGGGGCAAAACTAACATTCATGTTAGCAACAAGCTAATTGTAGCATGAATGCATGGACATAATTCCGAGATCCGACTTTCCACTTATAAGATGAGTCAGGCGCAGCACATGCAGTTAGCATGCTAATGTGCTATAAGCTTCTATTAGCTACAGTTTCCTCAAAGCTTCAGTGCTAAAAGCAAACTTCAGACACCAAACTTGACTTGGCTGAACTACATTTGGGAAAAAGGGGTAAAGCTGTGTAGCCTTTGGCTAAACTATGGTTTTCAGATATGAGTGATGAAGGCGGATGAAGGCTGATGAAGGCTGATGGCGCTCGGTAATCAGTGGGATGTGTAATAAATGTGGGCTCTGGACTGGATTCCGTTTAAGGTCAGTCAGTTCAGGAGATAAACTCATTAGAGGAGATGAATTATGTTCATTAAAGCAGCCGGGCTGAGTTTGGATTTCAGCTTAGTTCGGCTCAGTGAGCGCGAAAATGACCGCATGGTTCAGGCGGCGATTAGTATAATGACTTGTTGCTCTAATGACACTGTAGTATTATCATAATTACTGACCATGGACTGTTTACTCTCTTCCTCATATCGTACGCTGAAAGCAGCGATGTTCTGAATTTGCTTGATTCAGATGTTCCCATCATTTCTATATGAGGAAAATACATCACATCTACACAGCCTCATCTTTAAGTTGACTTACTTTTGGCAATAATTGTGTTGGATTGTAGATAAAAATAAGGGGATGAAGGGGAATTCGACGAAGACGAAGAGCAGTACAAGCACACAGTGGCCAGTCAGGATGTGGCCTACAGGCTGTGTGATTTGATATGATGAGCTGCTGACCTTTAAAATTCATTTTAAAATAGTCAGATTAAACGTTAAATCCTTACATAAAGACACACAAACTACTTTCTGTTTGAAGATGATGTCAATATAGGGGTACGTGACTTCGGTCAGGGTGAAAAATGCCCAGATGGCCAGGTTTTACACGCCCATTTACAGCCCTATGATTTGGTCCTAGCATGAAGCTGTTTTCCATTTTTGGGGGGCTCATGAATAATCTGGTGAGGTCTGGTCTGATTGGTTGGTTTACCACGGTGCCTCACACAGAAGCAACTAGTTGCTAGTTACTTGGAGCTTGCTAGTAGCTAACGTTACCTGTACAACCTACTCGCTTTGAATCTCGACAACAACACAAAGTAAAGTGAGTTGTTAGCTCACTATGAAGCTTTCAGTTTAACCCTTTGGTCGCCATATTAAGGCTAAATCAGAGCGCTAATAGCAGGTTTACAGTGATCTGGCTGTGTGTTTGTGCTGTATTTCTGGGTTGTGGGATGTTAGAACGGGTTTCTCTCACTCTGGCTAGTGATGTCAGGTTCCTCGGAGTGCTCTGATTGTGAATCATGTCACTATTTTTAACCCTTTTTGTTTATAATATGAAGGCTAAAAGCAGAGATGTAAGGTAACAGCCCTGCGATGGACTGGCGACCCGTCCAGGGTGTATCCTGCCTTCCGCCCAATGACAGCTAGGATAGGCTCCAGCACCCCACCGCGACCCAGAAGGATAAGCGGTTTAGATGATGTATGTATGTATGTATGTATGTAATGTAACAGTAGCGAGTGGGGTTTGGGTGATTTTGGAGCTGGATTGCCGGCTGATGGACGGTCACAGGTGGATGAAATCACTCTGGATGGTGATGCAGAGTCTGATGTGTGAACCATGTCGCTGTTTTGACCCTTTGTTAGAATATGATGACCTCATACTAACTAGTTAGAGGGCGGGTCTGCTGAATGTCCTGATATGTCTGTAGCTTAAACCGTTCTGAATTTATGAAGACCAGAACTGACCTAAAGGTTAAGATGATCTGGCTTTAACTGTCAGAAAGTGGATAAACACACAGCATGGCTGCTTACAGGCTGCTGTTGGGGTTGCGATGCTAATAAAGCCGGAACTGCCCCTCTGTTCAGGGTCAAACGCTGAGCGAAGCTGCTCGATATTGTCCAACGTTTGAGTGAAATGTGCAGAGCAGCCCAGCAACTCTGAATTAAAGTTGTCCAGAATCCTGTTAGAGATGTGGGAGCTGAAGTTCCTGTTAGCCAGCTTGTTTTGTGGATTTTCTGTTCCACCTTAAATGGTGTTAGATGGTGCCGCAGTTACCTTCTGGCGCCTGTATGATGCTGTAGCTTTTAAGGTGGAACGGAGTATTCAGTTAAGAAGCTGGGACCAGATTCACAAAACGTTTCTTAAGAAAAAACTTGCGAAGGTTCTTAAATATAAATGATTAAATTTAAATGCTGACCTTGCTGACCTTAGGCCTACAGCCTAAGACAAGTGTGAGTCTGTCGTAAGGTTAAGAACACAATTAAGAACATGATATTGTCGGGAATATAACTTCTTCTCAGAATTATTCTTGAGAAAATAGTTAAGAAAAGAAAATAAGACAATGTGTTGCTTTTTTCTTAATAATGAGGTTCAGAAAAAACAAACATTTAAGAAACTTTTCTTTCTTAAGACAGTTTTGTGAATCTAGCCTCGTTTAAAGATGAACATCAGCCTGCTGACAGTTCGGTTCTTTGGGAAGGGAATGAACAGTGTCAACATCCTTTCACAGCCCAGAACGACACATTTCTGCACATAGTCCACCATTTTCACTGCTGCTGCTCTACGGTCGTTTCATTCTTCATAATACCTGCTGGGCTAGAACGTGTGTAAATGTGGGGGTGTGAATATTAATGAGTGAAGACTGTTATGTAGCAGTTTAGATTTTGGCCCGTTTTACTGCCTCTGTTACAAATGCAGGGTTAGTATTTGAAGAAGGAGACGACAGTGTTTGACGGTCACAGTGGGTCAGTTCTATGTACCGAACTCTCCTCATTCAACTCTGCCAGTGTTAATGCAGTTTTCCATTCTATGGCACCTTTAACATCATGTCTGGTGCTGCTTGTCCAGCCATTATACACCTCTAAAACTCACTGGTGTCACTTAAACTTTTAAACTCTAACCTGCCTGAAATTTTCTACATTTATTTTAGTTTTATTATGATTTTTTAATACATTTATATTATTTTATACATTTATATTGACTTGTTAATTTGTTTTATTCATTATTATTGTTTTCTATTTGATCTTTTTTTATTAATCTGCTTAATAGTTTTATTTGATTGATTTATTAATTGTTTTGATTTGTTGATTTGATGTTTTTGATCTGTGTGACATGTTTTATTTGTCTTGTGTTTTACTGAACTTTTTAAATGTTGTTTTTTGTTTATGCTCAGCTGCATCATAAACGAGGGTCACCTTAAAGTACTCAGAGTTTAAATAAATGTTGATTGATTGATTAAATGATTGATATTGTACATGTACTAGGGAAGCTCAGACTTTTGCACATGACAGTGGTCCTTGCATTTATCCTATGCTTTTATTATTATTATTATTATTATTATTATTTATTATTATTTATTTATCTATTTTAGTCTATTCATGTCCAACAACTATATTCAGTATGGTGAGGAAAACGTTCTGATTGGTCTAAAGTAATTTTACACAGTTGTGGAGTTTATACTGACGAGTGATTCTGTACAGTTATATTTATCAGATGAACGTCTAACATGTAGATGAAACTTTGTCAATTTTTTACTTTTATTCACAAATTTGAAAAGTTCCAAATTTTGTTCATGTGACCAAAAGACTGAATCTGATAGGATAAATTAAATGATAAAAACTTACTTTAAAATTAATTTAAATATGGTGGTATATATATATATATATATATATATATATATATATATATATATGATGAGAGAAAGAGAGACAGAGAGAGAGAGAGACATAGAGAGAGAGAGAGGCGTAGGGGGAGATATACGTACACACATACACGTGTATTAAGGCGGGCCTTGTTTAGTGCGCGATTCTGATTGGCCAGTGTGAACCACGTGACTCTTCAGTTTTCTTCCGTGTTGAGGAGCTGAGGAACCGGTCAGCAGATCGGGAGTCAGAGAGTTTCATTTCCGCTTGTTTTACAACCGAACATCTTCTAAAAGCTCCAGAGACGACTGAGGCATGAATAAACCCAGCCTGGTGGTGTTTGACCTCGGTAAGTGTGACCCTTTATCGCTGACCGCGTCCGTCAGTGAGCGGCTAATACAGCTCACACAGCTACAGGTACAGGTACAGGTACAGGTACAGCTGATGTTCATAATACAGGTACAGGTACAGTTACAGCTGATGTTCATAATACAGTTACAGTTATAGCTACAGTTACAGCTGATGTTCATAATACAGGTACAGGTACAGTTACAGCTGATGTTCATAATACAGTTACAGTTATAGCTACAGTTACAGCTGATGTTCATAATACAGGTACAGGTACAGTTACCGCTGCTGTCCATGTCAGCGTCAGTGTGAATGGTGTGAATGTTAGTGTTAATGTTGTTGGTCATAAAGTTACTAACCTTAACTACTCGGTCTGAAGTTCATCCTCCAGTAAAGATCTGCTGTGACCCATCACTGTCTGAAGCTGTCAGGTTCCCACAGTGCTGTATAATCTGTTTACTACTCCTGTAATACTCTATAACAGGTTCTCCTCTGGGTAACAGTCCTTAACTCTTTAAACATGGTTCTTCAAGGGTTCTTTAGTAAATGGAATGGTTCAATTTAGAACCACAAGTTCTATACAGAACCATTTGCATGTGTTCTGTGTGGTATAGAACCCGTATAGCACCAAAAGCGTTCTTCTACAACTACAAGCTTGACATCATAACAACAGCACAACACTTTTTTGGTGCTACATAGAACCATTTCCAGGGAGGTTCTGTGTAGAACCATAGACAATGCATTCTCCGTCAATCTGAATAACCATTTCACCATGCGTATGGTTCTAAATGGAGCTCATGGTTCTAAATAGAACCATTCCATTTAGGAAGGAACCCTTGATGAACCACCTTTTTAAGAGTGCACTGTATAACAGTAATACATAAATATATGTTAGTATATGTTTATTTTTTTTCAGATCAAAACATATATCCTGTAATGTATAGATAGATAGATAGATAGATAGATTTATTGAAGACAACAGTAAACAGAAAAACAAACAGACATAGAAATGTCAATAAAAGACGGGAGATCAGAGAATCTGAGATATTATACAGCAGATTTTCTACACAAATGCCAAAATTAGGGACTCCTGATGTTCCAGATGTTCAAGGTTCTCACAGCTGTCTCATTGGAGGAGGCAGATAAAGTCAAATAACTCTCCATGTCTTTGATTAAGTGACCAAACAGGGCCCTTTTACACCTTACACTGATGTGTATAGTACACTGATGCGTGTTGTGTCCTGTCGTAATCGTCTGATTTCATGCGTTTCAGTTACGTAATCTTTTCTGTCCCACGGTTGACAAACTAGTTTAGAGGGAAATTCCAGAGATATTTCATAAGGTGTTTCTGTTTCAGTGGTTAAGATGAGTCATTCAGGGTGGTTTGGTGTGAAATGATCTGTTCTAGAGAAACTTACCTAGACCTTTAGACCTTAGACCTTAAACTTAACTTAGAGTCCGAACTGTTCACAGTGGTGGTGATAGGAACCAGAGTTTTACATGAAATGGTTATGATTATGCTGTCTGACATCTGAGACACTGTTTTATGACAGTTTTAAGATCAGATTTTGGGAGAGCTTTGTTTAAATCTGTTCATGGCGGAGAGGCACACGCAGGGCATTGTGGGTGAAACAGTCCCCAAAGATGCTCCACCAAACGACTGGAATATCCCATATATGCCCTTATATACTGTATACCCATATATTCTGATATTGCTCAGTTTATACTGTTGTGGTTGTTTTAGTGTTATTGGCCTGAGCAGCTGTGTAGCTCTCGTGTTTTTATTATTCATAGTGATGTAAAATGTTTTCTCGCTGGGATATTCGAATGCAGTAGTATGGCTACTGGTTTACAGATAGACGTAGCTGTAGATCGTACACTGACGCTGTTGATTAGATGAACGTCTGTAGCTCATGGGGTAAGAAGCGACAAAGAGGAAGTAAGACTGCCCTCTCAGACAAAAAAAAAACAGCGTTTCCTTTATTTAAAAACAAAAACGTAAAATTCACAAAACTACTGTCACTGACCCACGTGTACCTGTAGGCCAGCAAATCACAGCTAAAGAAACTGGGCTGTGGACTGACGGGCAGCCAGGGGCCGAATAAAAAAGGCCGCTCCCCATCGACTAATACCAAAGGCCTTTTATAGCCGGCGCCAACAGGAACAGCCAATCACGCGCTGGGAAAAGTGAGACGTCAGTCATGCAGCAATACCCAAAAACACAAAACGCAGAGAGAGAGAGAGAGAGAGAGAGAGAGAGGGGGTGTATAATTAATCCAGTTATACCTACAAAATGAAGGTCAGTAAACAGTGATTATTAATGCAGTTCTGTACAGATTTTGCCACATCAGCTTGAAATGAAAATTGACCCTAACTGACCTAAAGACTGCCCTCCATTCCCTCTAGACTACACCCTCTGGTCATTTTGGGTGGAGGCAGCTGACCCACCTTTCCACAAGGATGAAAGGTTAGTGTTATTGTGATGATCTGTCTGTTACTGTTATTACTTTGATTGCAGTACAGTGTGAAAAGGTTTAGACACCCCTGATCTAATAACATATTGTTGATTTTGTAAGTGTGAGTAAGTGAACACGCCCTCGACAGAGACACACTTCCTTTTATTTGTTAAGTTTAATATGATGATCTCTCTCTATGTCTCTCTCTCTCTCTCTCTCTCTCTCTCTCCCTCCCTCTCTCTCTATGTCTCTCTCTCTCTCTCTCTCTCTCTCTCTCTCTCTCAGTGGACAAGTGCGGGACTCCAGTCTCTATCCTCTCCATCTGTTTGATGACACAGTGGAGATCCTGCGCTCTCTGCAGACTCAGGGAATCCCGATTGGCATCGTGTCACGGTGAGAGTCCCACCTCTACAGCGCAGTGTCCACTCTGAGCCAGTGTTGAGGACACTGCACTGCACTGGACGGTTCACTGTTTGTCCTGCTCGACTTACAGGGTTAATGTATAAAGAGATGTTTATCATTTAGCTGCCTGACACAAACTTCAGCAGTGTGAGATCAAAACTAACCTAAACTACTGAACCAACGACTGTTATTCAGTTATTAGTGTAATTATTCAGTAACTGCTTTGGAGAACAATTTAGTATCTGCTATAAATTATTCAGTGACTACTATACATTATTAAGTATTTTTATGAATCATTCAGTATCTGCTATAAATTATTCAGTATTTTTATAAATTTTTCAGTATCTTCTATGAATTATTCAGTACTTTCTATTAGTTATTCAGTATCTGCTATAAATTATTCAGTATTTTCTATTAGTTATTCAGTGTCTACTATGAATTATTTGGTATCTTCTATAAATTATGCAGTATCGTCTGTGTATTTTTCAGTATCTACTATAAATTATTCAGTATTTTTATAAATTTTTCAGTATTTACTATACATTTTTTAGTATTTACTATGAATTATTCAGTATTTACTATAAATTATTCAGTATTTACTATGAATTATTCAGTATCTAATATGAATTATTCTGTATCTTCTATGAAGTATTCAGTAACTAATATAAATGAATCATTAATCATAACTTTAATGAAGTATTCAGTAACTAATATAAATGAATCATTAATCATAACTTTAATGAAGTATTCAGTAACTAATATAAATGAATCATTAATCATAACTTTAATGAAGTATTCAGTAATTAGTGATAAGTATCTAACACACTGAGTTTGTCTTAACATGGAAAAACATTATCGTCAGGTTGTTGAGGAGTCCCAGCGGTTAAAGAGCTGAGCAGTCGGACGTTTCTGGGTTCAGGTCCCAGGACTGACCGTGTACTCTGGACGGCTCTGCTCTGCTGGCGACACTGAGCTGCTGTCGGACTGGGCATCGTTAGGCAGAATGAGCAGTTTCCCTTGAAAGCCTACTAATTGAAGTATAGGTTGGGAGTGCTGGAGTGGGCTGTGGTCTTCAGGATCCATTTTTATGGAAGTCATGTCCTGTAACACCCCCTCAGAACATGTCAGAACAAATTGATTAAAAGTGCATATTTCCCTGCGGAATAGTTTGATTTTCCTGCTGACAGCCCGGCAGCTCCGCGGTGCGTAATGAGCAGAGACGCCCAAACCTGCAGCAGACAGTCTGCCGCCCTGCAGAGTCTCATTTCAGTCTGGATTTAGACAAATGAAAAAGTGAAGTCGTGTCAAATCAAGCATTTCATTGCCTTTTGTAGGTATTAAAATATTTTGTATAGTAATATATGAATATAGAAAATAACAAAAATAGAAAAAATAGGGTTTTATTCAGAAGTTATTGTTACAGATATTGTGCTTTTATTATGATCAGTGCTTTAATACCACATTAATGGGGATTTTCTATAAATTACTATAAATTTACTATAAATTAGTTCGTATTTTCTATTAATTATGCAGCATCTACTATAAATTATTCAACACTCAATTAATTATACAATGTTTTCTGTAAATTATTCAGTATTTTCTAAGAATTAATTAGTATCTACTGTAAATTATTCAGTGTTTTCCATTAATTATGCAGTGTTTTCTATTAATTATTCAGTATCTACTATAAATTATTCAGTACTTTCTATGAGTTATTCAGTATCTACTGATAATTATTTAGTATTTTCTATTAATTATTCAATATCTACTATAAATTATTTCGTATTTTCTACTAATTATACAGTTTTATTAAGAGTTATTCAGAATCTACTATGAATTATTCAGTGTCTACTATAAATTATTCAGTATTTTCTATTAATTATTCAGTGTCTACTGTAAATGATTCAGTATCTACTATGAACTATTCAGTATATTCCATTAATTATACGTTTATCATGATCAGTGCTTTAATAGAACATTAAAGGGGAACTCCACTGATTTTGAGAAATTACATAATCATTGAATGGTTAAGACGTAAACAGAGTCATTCAGAGTGGTTCGTGTGAAATACGCCTTTCTAGAGAAATTTACCAAGTCAGAGTTGGTCACCATTACAGTACTAGAAACCAGACGTCCAAAGAATTTAATGGCTCTAAAAGCTACATCCCATTAAGTTACACAATTACACAAAGCAGTTATAAATGCATTGCTTGATACCTGAGACATTGTTTAGTGATTGTTTAGTTATGAAATTATGGCCTAAAACATATTTCAGTATAAACTATTACTCCTGAGACCAGTGAGCGCAGGCTAACGTGTTTTTGTAGTTACTAGCCGTTCAACATGGCTATTTTTTTGAATGTAGCACTATTTTACCATTATCAGCGTGACACGTAAGTTCACTGGTCATTTCAGATAGCAGATAAAATGGTGATATTTGTAGTGTAGACATGCAGACGTCTGGTTCCTAAGACTATAATGGTGAACAATTCAGACTTAAATTTCTCTAGAATGGCGATTTCACACCCAACCATGCCAAATTATTTTGTTTACATTTAAACGGTTGAATGATTAAGTAATTTTACAAAAATGGGTGGAGTTCCCCTTCAACATATTAACACACAACACATTTCAGCCACTTTGTCTTAGTGCTGGATTAAAAAATGTATTGAGACAAAATTGTACACTCTCAGAAATAAAGGTACTAGACTGTCACTGGGGCAGTTCCCCTCTTGTCACTGGGGTGGGGCCCTCAGGGGTCCATCTCAGTGCCTTTAGTCAGGGAACATAACTGAACCATAATCCACTGAAATGATGTGTTCTAAGCTGTACTGACTCCACACACCCCGTCTCGCCTCCAGGCTTTTATTTTACTGTTCTGTTTTAAAACATTCGGTTATGAAAAGATACAAATACGAACTTTTCACCTGGAAAAACTTATTTAAGGTTCACAATCAGACCTTAAACCACTGTTGAACTTTGAGGGAACATTTACACTGTTTGTGTTTCAGCACAGGAGACACGGATGGAGCCAATCAGCTGCTGTCCCTCTTCGACCTCGACCAGTACGTGTCCTTCAGAGAGATTTACCCGGGGTCAAAGGTCACCCACTTCAGCAGGTACAGCTGTGAGGTTGCTGTTTTTCTATGTATGCACTCTATTGTGTCCAAAAGTTTCTCGTCCTGCATTTCTCCTGAAATGAAGGGTGTTAATAGCGAGTTTGTGCTGCAGTAACAGCCTCTACTCTTCTGGGAAGGCTTTACACTGATGTTGGAACATTGCTGTGAGGATTTGGTTGAGCACTAGTGAGAGCAAGTACTGATGTTGGATGGTCAGTTCTGGATCTCCATCACCCCAGAGAACACAGGTGCTCCACAGCCCAAGGCTGGGGGGCTTTATAGCCCCCTAGCCCATGCTTAGCATTGGTCATAGTGACCTTAGGCTCATGTGCAGCTGCTCCAGAGTGCCCCATTCTATTGGTCACCTGTGTCACCACATTAAAGGGCCCATATCATATAAATCTGGACATCTCCAGTCTGTTTAGTGCACATATGGAACCTAAGCTGCTTTTTTTTTGTCCCAAAAATATGGCGCATTTACATATATCTGCCTATTCCGCCTACAGCAGTTTAGCTCCGCCCGTTCACACTGAAGATATAAGGAGTGTTTCAGCCCAGACTGCTTTCTTAATGAGAGCAGCCAATCAGAACAGAGCTCGTTTACATATATCGATTTTAAAGGGACAGTAACGACAACAGAAGTAAAAAAATAGTCATGTAAAAATAATTGTCACTCTTTTTGGTACACAAAGTGACACAAAGGTCATAAAATACTCGAAAAGGTTGCGTTCAGGCCCTTTAAAGGAGCCGAATTCACTGAGGCTGTGCGGACAGTGTGTGTGTGGGAGGGAGAGGGAGAAATGAAAAGAGAACAAAGGACGTTCAGCGTGTTTCTCCATGCAAATAACATTGTATCTGTAATTGCAGATCTAAAATCAAGAAGAACCAGCGATCTGATAAAGCAGAATAATAGCACTGCGAATTTAGACATTTAAATTCCAAGTTGGGCCTAAAACTGCCCTGCTGTGAATAGCCTGGAGCATTTTTTTCTCATGTGGAGTACAAACACACAGTCTAACCATATTGAGATGAATAGTTGATATTCACTTCACGTGTTTTGTGTATTTAGATTTTCCATTTTCCTCAAAGAGCGCGCGGAGAAAACAAGATTAAGTCATTAGCGGGTCATAAAATCGCACATTTGCGGAACGCTTTTACTGATCGTTTGTCCTTTTCAGAATCCGCCGTCAAATATTTACATCCGCCTGCTGATTACACCAAAGAGCGTGACTAGACGCATCAGCTCAGGCTCGACTCCTCGCTGCAGCGGGGTGGGAATGCCGCTTTAATCTGATGTGAGGGCTTCGGAAGTGGAAAAAAAGAGGTTTGAACTTGACCTAATATTGTCAGCGGCCCGGCTCGGGAGATGATTCAGTGGAAAATAAACTAGTGCTGATGTCTGACGTCTGCTTGAGTCATCCTTCTTTCAGAGCGAGCAGGAAAACAGTGTAATTCAGCTGTTTTAGATCCAGCACTGAAATACATAAAGCGTTTTATCACTGGCCAGAGAAACTGACACTGACTCTAATAATAAAGAGGATATGTTGATGTTATCGTTTATGGCTGTCGCTGTCAATTTTTTACCAGTAATCCTATAACATACTGTTTATTTTAGTGATCAAGAGTTTTTAAAAAGGGCTGTATGATAAAAACGGACAATGGACAACATATGGAAAATATGTCTATTGGAAAAAGAAAATCTATGAAGCCTTTAAAAGACTTTCTAATATGATATTTCTGTTTTTTTTTAATAGTAGTGGTGGTATTCCACTCTTTTTTCAAAATGTCTGAAAAATTAGCTGGTTGAGATGTAAACAGAGTCATTCAGAGTGGTTTGGTGTGAAACGCTCTGTTCTAGAGAAACTTACAGAGTCAGAACTGTTCACAGTGGTGGTGATAGGAACCAGACGTCCACCTCTAAAAGCTCCCTCACAGAAAGTTACTACATGAAATGGTTATGAACACGCTGACTGATGTCTGAGACATTATGTTACGTTAAGTTTACATTGACCTATAAGGTCTTGCTTAGGCATTTAAAGCTCTGAACTGGAGGTCTGCGCCAAACTGTTGTTTCAGTCCCGCTCCCGTCTGCAACCGAAACGTTTAGTCCTGCTCCCGCCTGCAGTTCCGTCAAGGCGAACTGACATCCAATATCTGACATAATCTATTCACAAATACGTTATTCTCTGCTGACATAAAACGGCAGTTGTGGTCATCAGGCTCACTGTGAGTAACTTCACTAAGCACCATTTATTTCCAGTGAACACAAAACAGGAATTAAACCACAGAGCTGTTATTTTTGCTGTTTTGCTGGGCAGCTGTGGCCGTCGGACTGAAGGCTTCGCCGTGTCTGAAATCTATGCGAATGTGTGCGTGGTTCGCGTCATCGTTTGCGTCACAACTCTTCAGAAAGACTTCAATCACTTTAACCGTTTTGCTGTTATCATTTTATATCGTTTATATGATTTAGTGATGGTTTTACTTTATTTACTTTATTTAAGATGCTGCTTAAGGTCTTGAGACATTTATTTTCAATAATCAGCAATGAGCTTTTGGCCTAAAATGTATCTATCCATTGACTTTGGAGAGGTTAAATCCCAATTCTAAAAAAGTTGGTACGATGTGTGAAATAGCAATAAAAACAGAAAACAGTGAGTGTTTAATTCTGTTTGACCTGTATTAAATTCAAAACAGTACAAAACACAATATTTGATGTGTTATCTTATGAACTACATGGTGAATACTCTAATTCCAAATATGGGACATGCAACACGTTCCAAAAAAGTTGGGACAGGAGCATTTAATAAATGTTTGGGGGTGGAAGACACAAACTGTTTTGGCATTCTACAGTTGTACAAGTCTACAGCTGTGCAAGCGTACAAAGATCTCGTTGGCATAATTTCCCCTTCATAACATGCCACATGTTTTCAGTGGGCGACAGGTCTGGACTGCAGGCAGGCCAGTCTGGCACCCACACTCTCTGATAAAGCAGCCATGCTGTTGCAACACGAACACAATGTTTCCTGGCACTGTCATGTTGAAATAATCATGGACGTCCCTGAAAAAGACGGCGTCTAGAAGGCAGCATACGTTGCCCCAGAATGTGTATCTTTCACTGTTAATGCTGCTTTTCACAGATGTGCAGGTTACCTACTAATAACCCCCTTCCATCCTGTAAAGATTCTGGCTTTAGAATTATACGCTCATAACAATCTGGCTGGTCCTTTTCTTCTTTGGCCTGTAGAACATAACATCCATGAACAAAACCGAAGAGTTTGACATGATTTATGCATTTCCACTGTGCATTAGTCCATGGAGCCCAGAGAAGTCGGTGGCGTTTCTGGACATTGTTGATGTATGATTGCCACTGTGCATAGTACAGTCTTAACTTGCATTTGTGGATGAAGCGAAGAACAGTTAGTAAAAGTCCTCCTGAGCCCTTGTGGTGATATCATCACAGAAGCATGTTGTTGTTTTTTGCCCTGGCTGCTAACAGAGCTCTAGGTAGTGCCTGTTTATGGCCAGTTGCATTTTTTACAATCAAATTGGCCATTTTTTTTTGTTTCTTCAGGGTCTAACGGGTCAAACGGGAAGTTAAATGAAAAATCTGTCAGCTGTTTTAATAACATGAAGCAAATAAAGTGCTACATTGAAAGTTAGAGGCGCCTGGTTATTTAATTTATTTGTGTATGATTATGCTATGAAATTTTGTTGCAGATGTAGCAGCCGCATGCAAATCCAGTGCACGTGCACTCACCTGTTTACCTCATAAAACGGCCAAAACTGATATAATAAACTGAGTGGTTGCCAACATCTGGAGCAAACATCTGCTAATTTTGATCTTAGCTGATTCTGATGCATCCCTACTCGAATCCCTATAGAAATGCTAAGAATTTAAGGCAGATGAGGAAGTTAATATAGCGGACATTTGTCTACATCTGACATTCGTTATATCGCATCATCAAAGGTCTGATCAAAAAATGGAAACATGTATCGCCTTTATTTTTGTTTGGAGATGCTGACCTTCAGCGTTTAGCATTTAACGTAATGCTCGTTTTAAAAGTAGTCATCAATTAAACTCTCCACCCTCTCAGTGAATCAGCAGTGATTAACGTGAACATCGACCATTTTCATATCAGCGGTTTGAATTACAATAATGTATATTTTAAATTCTCTACTGGTTCATATCAGATCATTTCTGGGTGCCTGAGTAACCCAGATGGTCTGGAATTTGAAGCTGTTGGGGGGGATTTGGGGGCTGCTTCTGTATGTATACGTGAGGGAGTGTTGTGTAACGCGTCTGCTGTGTGCATTGTTTGCAGGTTGCAGGCAGCCAGTGGAGTTCCATACTCAGACATGATGTTCTTTGACGATGAACAGAGGAACATCACAGACGTCAGCAGGCTGGGTACAGCATCTCACCCTGAACCACCCACACTGAGCTCTGTACCCGACCTAGGGTCCCTACAATTTACACATTTCATCCAGATTTAATCCAAACCTAGAACATGTTTGGTGTCAGAAGTCTGCTTCTTTAATGCTAATGTAGCTAACAGATATTAAAAGGTTTTACCCCACCAATTAGCTTGGCGCTAACTGCATGCCTACATTGTCTCACACTAAAGTACGGACAAAATCCAGACATCAACATACTGCTGTTATACTGTATACTAATTTTAGCTGTGTGGCATCTTATTGGTCATTTTTATTGATGAATTTGGGCACCAGACATGTCTTGGCTACATTCAGAGTTTTGAGATATTGTATTGTTATTGTCTGAATAATAAAAAAGTCCCATAATATTGTTATGAGTTCATATCGCCCACCCTACTACGTACCCTACCGAGCCTCCTTTACACTGTCATACTTCACTCCTGCAGTTCTCCAGGCCCTCTAAACCACCCACACTCACAGTCCATGTGCTTTCTCACTCTGAACTTGTGCTCACACATCTCTCAGAAAGTGTGTCTAACAGCTCTGAACTCTCTCTCTGTTTCAGGTGTGCACTGTGTGTTGGTTAATGATGGAGTTACATCCAGCTTAATCAACAAGGAGCTCCAGCAGTTTCTGATGAAGCACTGAGTCCAGCTACCTCAGGTGTGGTGCTCAGCACGGCCTGCAGGGGGCGGTGCAGAGGCACCACAGTTGGTCACTGCGCACAGTTTGACTGTGGAAGGGTCATTTGTTTATTTTATTTATTGTTAATGCAAGAAAACAGAAGCAGGGTCCATATAGTTTACTATAGTCCTGTTCGGCTTTACGTGAGGAGGTGGGGAATGTAATTATTAGCGGTGTTTCTCTGTGATTTTAGCCCCGTCCGGTTTTTACTGACTCCGCGCTCCTGTGTCAGTAAGGATTGCAGCACCTTTTACTTTCTATAAAAGAAGCCATAGAAATGACCTCAGGTTATGTTAGTCCCGTGCAAATCGGCATGTTGGTAAAACGCTGTCGTATCCTGTCGAAAAGGAGTTTCTTAAGTATGGAGCGACTCGAAGAAGCGTTGACTTGTGTTGAAGTCAGCTTCTTATTCGAATGTTCCCGTTCCACCTTAAATAGTGGTGAATGTAACTGCTGCACCATTTAAGGTGGAACAGGAAATTTTGAACAAGAAAGTGGCGAATGGGAAGCCAACTTCAGCCTCATTGTCCTCTGAGGCTAAAAAGGTCAATATGTAACGTTACTGTCCCGTCTCACGTGTACATTTCCAGCTAATGGCGATGCTAATGACGCTGAATTCACTGAAAACAGAAGGTAAATGTTTAGGGTTAATGAAATAAAGGCTAAATGAACTTTTCTACTCTTTTCTGGAGTAAAAGCGGCGCATAAATCGAGTAGCTGTAACGTAGGAGGGGATGAGGCTGGATGCAAGTTTCTTTTATTTAAATCAGATTTAACAGAGTAGCAGAGGTTCATAGAACAGACAAGTCCATGATGGAACAAAACAGAGGAAAACAGAACTAAACTAGAAATAAAACTTGACAACAAGACCGGTGAAAACAGGCAACAGCAACAGGGTAACCTAGACAATGTAAGACAAGGAGACTGAGCAAACACAGGCATATAAAAACACTGAGGGAAAACAAGGAACACCTGGGACTAATAAGAGGGTCGGGCTACAGACTACACACAGGCGGAACAGATGACAAGGGGCCAGGACCAGGGAGGAGACAGACAAAACAACAACAAAGACACATGGAAACGTAAACAATAACACTTGGCACTGGGAAACAGAAAGACAAGAACGGAACGAGACAGAATGTTACAGTAGCCGCTCCCATCTCTGGCATTTAGATTTCTTATCCCGTACAAATCACTCATAAACATCACAGACGTCCTGAGGTAAACTGGCATTACCCCCCTCCCCATGGAGAACTAATCCAGGCCGAATAGGGCTTCAGTCTAGGATTTACAGAAGAGGAACATCTGCTTGTTTTTTAAAGCACTTTTAGAAACTTAGCTAAGTAGAAATGTAGCTACAAGTTTCCTTCTCAAACCTCAGAACTTAGTTTTACTTGAGTTATCACTGAAATGCACCTGTGGCGTGGGCTGTTTACACCTGTAAACCTGTTGATTACTGTAAAAAATAATGGTGCTGTATGCTGGATTGGGTATGTGGTCTTAGCCAAACTGCTGCTCTTCTTTATAATACAGCCACAACACCAGGACCACCCCACCAACTTTTAATTTTTATTTTAAACGTTCTTAGCTATAAAAACGAAAAACATTGCGGACGTCACAGATGCCGAGGTGTTATTTTTAAGCGAAAAAGAAACAATTTGTTGCCCGTTTTTCAGTTTAAACTGTGCAAATGAATTAAAACGTCTTTCACAAGTGAAAAGACAATGTGAAAAATTGAAAATAACATGCAATATTTCTAATTATCTGCATATATTGTGATTCGAAAGTGATTTAAAGTGGCAGTGCATGTATTTTTGAATTGAAATTTTACCACATTTGTCAGCAGAGTTACGGTCAGTAACAGACCACGTTTTGCACTTGAATTACATATTAACAGTTGCACATTTGTCACTGCGATAGTAGCCTGACTCACCTGTTGAGCGTAACCTCATCTGAAATGTGAGAAAAAGTTGTTACAAGCGCTTTTAAAGGGCTCATATCTTGGAAAATCCTCATTTCTCTCTCTTTTCTTTTTTAATCAAAGAGTTTGAGGTAGTATCAAAACGTACCAGTCCCCTGGAATTGTGATGTCACAAAAACCAGGACGCATATTTTTTAACCTATAGCACTTTAGCCCCGCCCACTTCATACTGAAGTAAAAAGGAATGTCTCAGCTCTGACTGGTTTTTGAAAGAAGCACAATACAAGGCAGCCAATTAGAACAGAGCTTGTTTACATATAGCATATCAGTCTTAAAGGCACAGTAACAAAAACAGCCTGTTTAATTCTAAGGGATAAAGAGAGAAATAGAAACAGTCATATAAAGAATGAATTATGATCTTATTGGTACAGAAAGACACACAGCTGTCAAGGGCTGGACGATTTGGGGAAGATCTAATTGCAGTTGTTCTGACCAATCATACGCTTCAAATTGCGACAAGCTGTCCAGGATAGTATTTTGGCCATTAAGAGCAGCATATCCACTTTTTCTGCTTTGAAGCTTGAATGCTAAGTGCCGGACTGGCAGTTAGTCATGGTTGTGATGTCACAGCACATGGGTGTTTGGTTGCTTCTGATTGGTCTAACTCATTTACAGGCTGTTCATGTACGAAGTGAAATTTCCCCACTTTGCAATTTGGATATAAAAACCAAACTTTCAGCCCTTTCATGTCACAATGGGGGAAAAATGTAGGATACGGGCCCTTTAAATGAGGTTTTATTGTTATTGCTACTGTACATGTACTGTATCTGTGAGACACAGCATCATTCTATTTATTTTTATAAAACATTTTTGAAAATAAACTGACCCGTCCTGTCAACCGATTGGCTCCAGTTTTCCGTTCTCGTGCCTCTCTTTCTCCCTCCTTTGGTCTCGTTCCCATGGAAATTCCTCCGGATCCCTCTGTCTCTCGCTCTCTCCGTCTTTCTCTCTGGATTTTGCCCCACTTCCGCGCACTAAAGAGGCTGTTAAAGTTGTTTTGGAGAAAGCAAATGTTAATTAAAATGTCTGATGAAGTTTTCATTTCTCTGGTGGGCGCACGCGGCGCTGCAGGCAGACTGAGGCGAGGTCCCTCCCCGCCCTCATTAGAAATCATAACAAACGGGACAGCCTCTCATTACCGCAACACAAGACAGGAGTAATTAGAGATTGGACCGTGAAGACTGGCTTATCTGCGCTGGTCTGTCTTTAGGAGCTACTGCTGATTATACTCATGTTGAACTCTCCTGTTCTCCCTCTTCTCCAGGAACGAAATCTCTCTCCGGACGGAAAATTTAGACGTCTTAAGCTCGTCTTTAGCCGGCAGTTTATTCAGAGCGAATAACTGATGAGTGAGTTTAATTTTGCAAAGAATCCTCAGTATTTTATAAGATGTTTGAGGTGTTTGGCTCTGTTTATCACATCTTTAAAGAGCTTGGACGGGGTCTGATCAACCCAAGGCTGTTTTTAACCTCTTTTTTCGGGAGCTTTAGGTCAAACAGAGCGAAGAACATCTGTGAGAAACTTTGAGAGGTTCATCAAAAACCATCCAGACAGTGTGAGTTCAGCACTGTCCATAGAAAATTATCGACCAATAGAATAGGAGCAGCCACACATGAGCCTAAAGTGATCAAAGTCAAGGCCAAGTGTGGGCTAGAGGGGTATGAAACCCCCCCAGAATCGGGCTGTGGAGCAGTAGGTCTCTGGAATGCTGGAGCTCCAGTACCTTTCTGGAGATCCAGAGCTAATCATTCAACATCACACTTTAAAAAATGAGAAGAGACAAATAAGATAAAAATACAATAAATAGAATAAAAAAAAAATAAAGAGCCAACTGAGATTAAGGGGCGGTAGGGAAGAAGGGTTGCGCCTGAAGCCCACCACTGTCTCTAAAGTCTTTTGCGTGTGGAGCAGCAGGTGGTTGGTGCTGCACCAGGACTCCAGCTGCACGACTTCGCCTCAACACCAAGCAGGTGTGGACAGCTGTGAGATCGCTGGGCTTCAAACTCACAATCTCCTGACATTGGGCTGAATTCTTAGGTCATTGCACCACATTATACTACATTACTTTTATGCTTTCAGCATTCAAGGACACAAAAATCTGAGTAGTTTAGGCTCTTGTGAGTGGTGCCTAAGACTTCAGCCCAACATCAGAAGGTTGTGAGTTTGAAGCCCAGCGATCTCACAGCTGTCCACATCTGCCTGGTGTTTAGGTGAAGTTGTACAGCTGGTGTCCTGGTGCAGCACCAACCACCTGCTGCTTAACACGCAAAAAAGACTGTAGATCGCTGGGCTTCAAACTCACAACCTCCTGATGTTGGGCTGAATTCTTATGCCATTGCACCACATTATACTACATTACTTTTATACTTATACAACATTTAAGGACACAAAAATCTGAGTAGTTTTAGGCTGTTGCGAGTGGTGCAATGGCCTAAGAATTCAGCCCAACATCAGAAGGTTGTGAGTTTGAAGCTCAGCGATCTCACAGCTGTCCACATCTGCCTGGTGTAGTGCCTGCCTGGTGAAGTTGTGCAGCTGGTCCCCTGGTGCAGCACCAACCACCTGCTGCTTAATACGCAAAAAAGACTGTAGATTGCTGGGCTTCAAACTCACAGCCTCCTGAGTTTCAGTTTCAGACTCTTGTGAGTGGTGGAGTCAGCTTTCACCCTTACCAGGAGGTTGTGAGTTTGAACCCCAGTGATGCCACAGCCATCCATAACTGGAATCCCAAAAAGGGGGCTGACTTTCATTTCTAACAGTGTGACCTCGCTAATGCTCTTGAGGGTGAATGCAAGCAAATACTCACAGCAATGTTCCAAGACCTAGTGTGAAGCCTTTCTAGAAGACTAGAGGCTGTGAATCCCAGAAGAATGTTGGATAAGATGGATGCACTTTGGATTTACTCTGGAAATGCATTGACTTTTCATACAAATATATGTGCAAACAGAAATCGAAGGTTCCCCAACTGTAACTCATCACTGCTTCGAAAAAACACAAATTCAAAGGTAAATTTTATTCAACTCTGATCCTCCAACTGTATTTAAATGGTGAATTCCATCAGGAGGTCGAGGAGGCCATTAAGGAGACGCAGTCTTTTCTGTTTTGAAATGCTAGTTAACAGAGGCGCCGTGAAAACATCTCTTGCTGATAAACCTTTCAGAGCAGCTTTCGATGATATCTGTGCTATTCTCTCATCACAACTCAGCCTTTAAAAGGATTAAAGTGTTGACGTGGCATCTACACCATTAGGAGGCCTGAGTGAAGAGGCTGCGGAGTGTCTGATTAACCTGAGGCTGTTATTAAAAATGAATTCATTTATTAAGGTGTAAACAAAGTCATTCAGAGTGGTTTCAGAGTCTGAGTTGTTCACAGTGGTGGTGATAGGAACCAGACGTCCACGTTATTACATGAAATGGTTATGAAAACAGTGCCTGATGTCATTATTTTACAACAGTTTTGAGAAGATTTCAGCCTAAAACACCTTTTAATAACCATTCATGTTGGTGGAGGGATATACGGGGGTCGTTGTGAGGCAAAATAGCTCCCAAAAAAACATATTTTCAGATTTTCCACTATTTTCCCATCATCAACATTCCATATAAACACTAGACTCATGTAGGTTCACTGGTGGTTTTGATAGTAAATAAAATGTCTATATTCGTGTTGTAGTCATGGGGACCCCTGGTTCCTATCAACACCACTGTAAAGACATCTGAACCATTTCACACCAAACCACTCTGAATAACTTAGCCACTCCCCTTTATGACCATTAAATAAGTTGAAGTAGCCAAGCTGATTGATCATTTTAATGATGTTCTCAAAGTGTACTGAGGACCAAGCCTTAACAAGCCAGTCTTTGGTAATTAACTGGCTTATAACAATATTATTAAGCAGTATCTATGGTGGATTAAGCTTTAAGTGTTAACAGTGTATTATACATCAGTTTGACTTCTGAAAGCAAATGATGGATAATTAACAACCAATTACAGGCTTGATTAGGCTTAATCAGAGGATAAGCGCTGCATAATGCTTAATACAATGTAGTTACTGCTTAATAATATAGTAATTACAGCCTGTTACTCGTGAAACACTGGTTTGTCAAGTTTTATAAGCTGATTATAAGGGCATTACCTTGTTTTCTTTTAAAACAGGCATTACTAGTTTTTCACCTTCTTACATGAGCGAAAACTTTCTAGAACTTTATTTCCATATAATTCTAATTCTACTTTATAGATGAGAAAGCTTAGCTTATGCTAATGCTGCTTGGTTAAGGGGTTTGTTTTACAAGAAAACTCCCTTATTATGCACTTATTAGGTCTTAACAAACCAGTATTTGATCTTTAACAGGCTAATTATGATGTTATTAAGTAGTAACTAGCGTGAATTGGGCTCTAAAGTTTCTAAAGTTTTGGATTCTGTGGTTAAAACTCACTGCAAGTCTTTACGAAACGTGCCACGTCAACCCGAAGCAGACTTTCTAAGAAGTTCCTCATTAGCGAGTTAACGTTAGCGATTCGTGACGTGTCTTAAGTGGAGTTTATTATATCTGAGATCAGAAAATTGGGGAACGTTCTGGATTGGAGAGCAGAGAGTGGAGACGGCCTATGAAGGAAACTCCCGCCGACGCCTACAGTCCCGTCTGATCTGGCCTTCGCCGCAGTGCCTGCGAGGCTCTGATCAAGGCTGAAGCTAAAACTACACTCCTCTGTATTTGAAAGATTGTATTTTTTTTTTTTTACCCTTAATCATTTATTTAGCAGCCTCTCTTCTCCTCGGCTACATGATTCATTCATTATGTGAAAAGGGGAGTCTGGGATAGCGCTGATAATACCTCCAAGCCCCGCTAGCTGATTCAGGGCTAACGGGCTTTCCCTGTGCTTTATTTTAGCGCGCTGTTCCCTCCAGCCTCCGCTAATGGCATTTCAGGTGTGAATCTAATATTAATAGAGGCCTCTCCATGCGGCGGGGTCGCCGGCCAGCCCTCTGGAGGAGGTGAACCTGTTTCTGACAGCGGGGCTGAACGGTGCTGAGGAACGAGTCTGTTTAATATATCATTATTTGACGGAACAAGAAGATATTTGGGGTCACATTATAGCAATAAATACTGTAATGTTTGACATAAACTGAAGGATATTGAGGTAAATGGTACATTGCAACATTTTCCGATAAACACTGAGATACAGTTGTGTGCAAAAGTTTTAGCTGTTAAATTGCGAGTTTTGTTGATTGTTTACAGACAATGCCCATACATTTGATGCTTTCAGCAAACTTTAGTGCACTAATTCTATTTATTTGCTTAGTTTAACCCCTAAAATCTCAGGCTTATTACATACTAAGGCTTATTGTTCAGTATCTACAGGGACTTCAGTGCAAACTGGCTCAGTTATTCTTAGGTTATAGAAGTGTGTAATAAAACTTTGGGCCCAAATATAACTTTTGGACAAAATATAATCATGTGTCATAACTTTAGCACTAAATAGTGCTAGTGAGTGTGCTTACCTGCACTCAACAATCCGATCATAATCTGATTTCCGCAGTTGTCTGATTATTCAAATGTTCATGTAAACAGCACACTCTGATTTCTTAGATCAGAGTAAGGTCTAGAAATCTGAGTAAGAAATCTGATAAAGAGGCTGGATTTTAGCTCAGTAATCAGATTTCTCAGTGCATGTGACTCTTACTCTGATTTCTTTCGGATTTCTCAGTCTGTATATGTGTGAAAACAGACTGCGGTACTGGAAATAAGCGAGCAGCGTCACCGCAAGACGCAGCAAAACACTTTTGGAGCGACGCTGAAACCAAATACATGCTTGATAAAAATGAAGGATTTCAATATTCTTCATCTTCTAGACGATGTTTGTTCATATTTTCAGGTAAAGTGACTCGATGTTAAAAAAAGCTAAATGAAGTTTGAGTTTTACATCACATTTACATGTCTTCTTCTGTGAGTTTATTGGCTGGTTGCAAAGCAGAAATCTGATTACTGTCTGACTCATGTAGACCCAGAGTTTCCCATTATCTGATTACTCAAGTGCATGTAAACGTGTTGATTGGATTACTGACAAAATCAGATTTTCTGCAGTTATCCGATTATTAACTGCATGTAAACACACACAATTAATGCTTTTTTCCCAATTTATTAAATTCAGCAAATAAACAGTAATTGGTGCAATAATTATTACTTACACTTAGAAAGTCAACAAAACATCTAATTAAACCAGGGGTGCGCAAACTTTTGCACACAACTGTATTTGTATTCCTAACAAATTGAAAACAGAACTTCGTCCCAAACTGAGCTAATTCTCACTCTAACAGTGGAGGAGCTTCGTTTTAGCTGTTGATTACTGTAATACTCGAATAAAGGCTGCATGATATGAACAACATACATCCTGCTATTGTGATATATATCACTGTGCAACACTCAGAGACCCCCTTCATTCATTTAATGTCCTCAAAACAGCTATTAAGTACAAGTTCTTCATCAGTCCTTTATAATGAACTTGTTAAGACTTTACAAACAGTACTTCATGATTAACTGGCTGTAATTACTATATTATTAAGCAGTAATTATGCTGTGTAAAGCATTATGCAGCACATATATACTCTGATTAAGCCTAATCAAGCCAGAAATTGATTGTTAATTATCCATCATTTGCTTTCAAAAGTCAAACTTGTGTATAAAACACTGATAATAATTATAAAGCTTAATTCACCTTAGATAGTGCTTAATAATATAGTAAT